CATTCTGAGAGTGAGGGCTGCTTGTGTCCCCATGATGTCCAATCCTTAAAGATTTGTATGCTCCCAGCCTGCCTGATTTCATGCTGCAGAGGTAGGGGAAGACTGGAGCAGCAAAAATCCCCACTTAGCTTGTCCAGTTGTAGGGGCAGACAATAGCCAGAGCCTGCATAAATATACAAATGACCTCATCACCTGCAACAGAAATCTCCATCCACTGTGGAGAGAGACTCCAGAGAATTCAAAAGCTGTCTCAGCTTCAGGTCCTGCCCTAGAAGACTCAGAGAATTCTGGGCAGCCAGCAGAACATTTCAAGGAGTCTTAAAATCCCCATATTGATGCCATGAGCCTGCTCTGGATGGACAGTGTCTCCTTAGTGCCTGGCACAAGGAATGTAAGAAGGATCAGGGAGAGGAATCTCAAGAAAAAAAGGTAAAAACTAATTGAGGATCTTGAACACAAGTATGTAAAATCTAATTGAGGATCTTGAACATTTAACACAACTGGAAAGAGTCCCTGATGGTCTGCAACAGAGAATACCTCCAGATCCTATCCACTGCTTGAGACATGGAAGGATCTCCCCAAAAAGGGGATCACTGAGGCAGCTGGAAGCTCTGCCCCAATATATGACATGGTCAGACACAGGCCTTGAGGTTCTGCCTTGCTTTTCTTAGCTGCATGTTGCAAATTAATTTTCCATTTCTCCCTTGGTATTCTAGAAGAGACACACTCTCTGTAATGTGTCTCATTATTCCATGTTCCATCTCATTTTTCTCATTGTTCCATGTCTTTTCAGGCAAACCCAAATCCAGGTAAATTGTGGAGCTGCAGGTAAACCACAGACCAGGGATGGAGCTGACTCCTATTATGGCATGTTGGGAGTGGGGTTATTTTTGGAAAAAATAACGCACAGAGAAACCCAGCATTGAAAAAATTGACTTTGGGGACAGCAATAAAAAGACTTTTATTACAGAATATTTTTTTTTATTAGTAAAGCATACAAGCTAAAAAACAAGACAGGCCAAATACTAGATTAACTCACTCTTCCTTCAAATTTTTACCCACTTTAATTTACCATTATTTTGTTGGGGTTTTTTTTTTCTGTGAAAGTCACCTTTTGAAAAACAAAATGTTTTTGCCTTTTCTCAAAGGGAAAACACTTTTTGTTCCTCATACAGCTTCCCTTACTGCCTGAACTACATATGTTTTTATCCACAGTAAAATATTTCTAAAGATTAATTTGACATGTCTGATTATTCCTAAGGCAGCTTGTAATTTTCTTCACTACAAACACATTAATTTACTGAAGCAGTCACTGAACAACACAGTTGAATCTGGAATAGCTCCACAAACTCTGCAGCTATTTCTGGAGCACAACAGTTAGTTCTGAGCAGTTCTGGCAGAAACTGCAAGAGCTTGTAAGATGGTGCTACTCACTTGATTCAATAGCATCCAGCTTCTGGAATGTCCCCAGGATATCTCCATTTACTATTTTGGGTAAGAAATCCCTCAGTTGCATAACTTCAGTTGTCAGCCTTTCCAAATCTCTCCTCCTAACTTTTACGAATTCCTCTTTGGTCTCAGCCTTCTGAAATAAAACAACAAAGCAAAACAAAAACAAACCAACAACCAAACAAAGACACTGTTACAGTCCTGTAGTGCTTTTCTGCCTCAATTTCTTTTCTTGGACAGAAATATTCCTCTCTATGACATCATTTCAGCAATTTGTAACTTTTCAATGAGATCTATCCAGCAATCAAACCCAAAAGTCTCTGAGGTTGACCCTTTGACTGTAATGTTAATTCTTGCCACTGTGGCCTTAAGTAAACAGCATTACATCTCTTCATGTGTTTCTTCACCCAAAATGTGTGCAATGCATCTGGGAATGCTGCAAAAATTAACACATTTTAAAATGTGAGCAGCACACACCAAGCTGTTGTTTCATGACTGTCGTAAAGGATACGATCACTCAGCTCCTTAATTAAAATTAATTCAAACATATGCAAGAGCCTCAGTCCTAAATTACAACAACTCTTTCGGAGGAAAGTGTAGAGTTTTGAAACCAATTTATCTTTTGTGAAGAGCAAAAATTATTTGCAGCCATCTGCAACCCAATCTCAGGGTTTAAACCCAATTTAATCCCAAGGTAAGACAGAAATGTTTATTAGCTTCCTCTCCTGCCAAACTGTAATATATATATATATATATATATATATATATATGTATATATAAAATGATTTTCATTCAACATTCCAACAGAATGTGTGTTAATTTTAAAATTACAGAGCAATTCTGTACAAAAAAACCCCCATAAAGTCCAATTTCTGATGTACATACATGTGCACTCTGCTGGATGTTAAAAAGGCTGATAGACACACACCAACCAAAAGGAAGTTTTAACATGTTTTGACTAAAACATCAATCACTCAAAATGCTTTCAGAAAGCAAAGTTATATCTTAGTACTGCTTTGCACTGCACTGAGAACAGTGCGGACAAAATGAGCTGTTTTATGGATCACACCTTATTCCAGAGGAAAAAGGTTAACAAATCAAAATCTCATCTCCTACAGGTTGGAAATGTGCCATCCCCACAGTCCTCAAGAGCAGACTCACAAGACAAATGGAAGTCACCCTCTCTAACCATTCCCTACAATTCCTTCTGCTTCCCTACTTCCTCAGATTAAACATTTCCTTTCAGTTTTGCTTCCTACTCTATTTCTTTCCCATCTGTCTTTCAAATCCAGGGAGTTTTGGGACAGATCAGTCCTACCTCTACAGGTTCAGAGCTGTAATGATGGTATGGAAGAAAGATTTTGCTTTATTTTGAACTGTAAGCTCTAAGTTGCATCTAGGATATGCTTATGGCAAGGTTCGTAAGGCCAAATACCACCACATGACATGGCTCTAGAAAAATTCCACTTATCTAGGTCTCAAGAAAGTGTGGAACAAGTGTGGAAAGTGTGGAAGAGGAATCTTTAGAGGAATGCCATCTGTGTGTCAGCAACCATGAATGACAGAGAATTCAGCATGGCTCAGAATCAGAACAAAATTTGGTACATAGAAATAGCTCTGTTCACTAGCAGAAGCTGAACCAGAGCTGCGAATCACCGGTGCTGAGATATGAAATATGCAGCAAGGAGAAAACTCTCCTTTGCAGTTCCCACAGTAAGCAGAGGTCTTTGCAGCACTGCTATTACAGCAGACAAGTTTTATTCTCTCTGTTTAAGCAGCTTCTCCACATCTGCCTGCACTGCAGAAGTATGTTAAAGGCAAATACAGACAGGGGAGAACAGAAGTTTTCTGTCCAGTCCTTACAGTAACAGGAAATGGGAAATTTGACTTCACCGAGATCTTTCACAGGGGTGAAGTCGCCCAGCAATGCACCTGAGCTCATGTCCTGCCTGGTGTGAGCAGGACCCCCTTTCCCTGCCGAACAGGGCAGAGTTCCCAGCGAGGAACCACTGCCAGCCCTTTCCCCTTTCACCCCCCACCAGTCCAGGGTGCCTCTACAGCCCCCACCACGCTCCGCTCCCCTGGGGCCCCGCCATCGCCCCCTCAGGGCTCCGCAAGGCCCAGGAGCACCGCACAACCCCCGCTCCTCCTGCTCCTCGGGGCACCCACGCCCGCAGGGACCCCCAGGCCAGGCTGAGCCGGGCCAGGCCTCAGGGCCAGCCCCGAGCGCCCCCGGGCCGCTCGCGATACCTGCGCGTCGCCAGCGAGGCCGGCGCTGCGCCACATCGCGACAGCGGCGACAGCGGCGACAGCGGCGTCGTGCGGAGCTGGGGGGACGGGACGGCGTGAGGGCGGGGAGGGACCCGCTATGGCCACGCCCCCAATGTGACAACGCCCACTCTGATTGGCTATGTGCATACAGGGGTGTGGTTTAGGCGTGGCCTGATGGTTAGGCTCCGCCCCCAGTCTCGCCCAGAGCGACCCCGGGATAACACTGGGATAACATCGGGAGAACCCCGCGACAGTACCGGGATAACGCTGGGGTAGCAATGAGACAATACCGGGATAACACTGGAATAACACTGGGACAATGCCGGGATAACACTGGAATAACACCGGGACAATACCGAGACAGCACCGGGATAACACTGGGGCAATACCGGGACAACACCGGCACAATACCGGGAAAACACCGGGGTAACACTGGGCCAACACCGCGACAACACCAGGAGAACACCGTGCCAATGCCGGGACAATACCGGGTTGCGGGGAGCTGCAGCCCGGCCCTGCCGTGGTGCCGCCGCTGGGGCTGGAGGCTTCAGGGCTGACACCAAGCGGGGAGGGAGGATTGATCTGCTGGAGAGCAGGGAGGCTCTGCAGGGGGATCTGGACAGGCTGGATGGGAGGACGGAGTGGTGGCAGGTTCAACAAGGCCAGCTGCTGGCTCCTGCACTTGGGGCACAGCAGCTCCAGCCTGGGGAAAGAGAGTTTGGAAAGCTGCCCGGAGGAAAAGAACCTGGGGTGCTGCTCAGCAGAAGCTGAACGTGAGCCAGGTGTGCCCAGGTGGCCAAGAAGGCCAATGGCACCTGGCTGTGTCAGCAATACCAGCAGGACCAGGACAGTGATTGTGCCTCTGTACGGGGCACAGGTAAGGCCACACCTCAGGTGCTGTGTCCCGCTCCGGCCCCTCCATCCAGGACGGACGCGACACCCAGTGCCAAGGGCCGGTCCGCAGCGTGGTGACCGGACACCGGCTGGCCCCGGTAATCTCAGAGATTCTTTTCCAGCCTTCATGACTCTGTGATCTGTGGGGTGCTCGGGTCAGTGGAGACCCTCGGGGGACCCCGGCCGGTTCCTCCCGTGGGTGAGCCGGTCCCGGTGGTACCGATGAGCCCCGAACCCGGCGATGCCCCCGCGCCCATCCCCGCGCTCCGCCTCCCCGCGGTGACGGCAGAGCCCGGCGTCGCTGACGGCATCAGGCGCAGCCCGGCGCGGTGCGGGCAGGGCAGGCCGGGCCGGGAGCGGGGAAGGAGCGGGACAGGGTTGGGACAGGCACGGGGCCAGGCAGGGCCATGGCTCCCGCGGCCGTGCAGCCGCCCGAGGTGCAGTTCGCTCAGCGCTTGGCCGCCAACGAGAAGCGCATCCGAGATCGCGCCCTGAAGAAGCTGCGGGGCTACATCGGCGTGCGGACCCAGCGGCCCGGCGGTACGGACCGGGGCGAGCCGGAGGCCGGCGGGGCGGACAGGGACCGGGCTAAGGACGGGGACAGGGACAGGGACAGGGACGGAGACAAGGACAGGTGCCGGTGTTTGGCGGGGGCAGCGGCGGCCCCGGCCCCGTCCGGACGGCGTGGGGACGGAAGGAAGCACCACGTGTGCGCCCTGAGCCCGGCACGCCTCCTCGGGGCTTCCTCTCGAGTTTTTAAATTTTGTTTTTTATTTTTTTTTTTCTTTTACTTTACTTTTTGCTTTTAGTTTTAACTTTTTTTTTATTTGTTTGACCCATGTATTTCCCCATGTACAGTCACCGTGTTGCCTCGGTGCTGCCTCAGGCGCAGCCCAGCGCCCGGAGCCGAGGCACTCGGGGATCCTCGCTCGGGAAGAGTCTGCGGGCACCGGGGAGGCTCAGCAAGGATCAACTTGGACCGAGGGAGGGTCTCTCTGGCCTCGAACGAGAGGCCATTAACAAATTATAGCCTATAATTAGTTATTAACAAATCCGGGATGGGTGCGGGATGGCTCCTGTGCTGTCGTTCCCAAGGAAATGCACTGAACTGACCTAGGCTGAAAACATCCCGGTGTATGCAGCATAAAGTTTCACCTTCTGTTGTGTCTGTTTCCATGACTGATGATCAGGAGCATCAGAGGGAATCGAGGAAAGCTAAGTTATTTTTCAGCACGTGTGTAATTGCAGCTGGTTCTGTGTAACCCATTTGGGTTACCTGTTACTTTCAGTTCATAGTATCAAACGCTTTTTTCCTACGTTTTTCCAAAAATTCTACTTGGAGCTGTATATCGGCACCTTAGAAATAAGAATTCAGTGATGTCCCTGGAGTTAGTTTGAAGCTGGCAAGGCCAGTCAGTCTAGCCCATCCTAACACTACCTGTATCAAAATGCCTCATGTGCACAGTTTCCACATGGATGTGTGTTATTCCTATACCTCATATTACATATAATGCAATGTATAATCTACATTTTATGTTTCTCTTATATAAAACATATCTTTAATAAGCTGCTTTCTACATTATTGTATTACCATACATTTAAATTATTGCATATTACATCTATATTTTATATATTATATAAATATATGGCTTTGGAGAACCAGCCTAGAGCTGACCCCAATAGCTGAACTGCAGGTGGAGTGCTGGAGTACTGGTTGGGCCTGTGTGAATTCCTTGAAAAGACTGTGAAATGAATATTGTTTTTTGCCTTTCCAAGTAGTATTTGACCCATTTGCCACTTCTGACAGAGGGAAGGACACCTAGAACAGCGTTACAGGGTCAGGCCAGGGAGCCAAACAGGCATTATCCCATTCTTGGCAGTTAACACAGATCTAGGGATTGCCTGGGGACTAGGATGGTGTACACCATGTACCTCCCAGGTACTTTCTATTTTTTAGCTCTGGAGACTTTCCAGGGGGGCTGTGTGTTCAGTGGCACTCTGTGATCTCACTGCAAAGTGCACATTCCTTGCAGTTTGTGGAAGCAGCCACAGGAAGGACAGCGGTGCCCATAAATGAGGGAAAAAGCTGCAGGTTCAGGCATTGCTTTAAAACATCATGAAACCATCACAGGGGAATGGCTCAGTTGGGCTGTGAACCTTTTGCATGTTAAAAACAACCCACCACAGAATGCAAATGAGGAGGAAACACGGGTGACTAATTTCCAGAGCTCTCAGAGCGACTTGCTGTTAGGTACTATCCAAGCTGGTAGTATTGAAACAAAGATTAACTTCTTTGGGCTTGGAGAAAAGGCATGTTCAGGAGAGAGGGGTTTTTTAAAGTTATTTATTAATTAGCACTTACAATTATATATATAAAGTTATTTATTATTAGCAGTTATTTATTAATTAGCAATTATATTATAATATATATTATTATACCCATCCAATGTTCTGAGAGGGATTCACACATCAGGCAAGCCAGGTAAGGTGCCCTGACCTGAGGAGTTGGGAATGTGCTGAATTTTGGCAGAAGTGCTGGAGTTCACCTGATGTTCAGGGCTGTCAGGTGTTTATTATATAGACAGGGCTGCTCTGTGTGGTCTGTGCTAAGGCTGAGGGAGCCTCTTAATTTTCAGCAAGAAGTTAAACTCTGTGCAAGGCATTGAACAACCAAATGAATGGATGAAAGAATAGTAAACAGAAATAACTTCTAGCAAAAGAGGGCAGATTGCTTAGGGGGTTCCTGTCTGACAGGGCTGTGCTTACTTGGGCCTGAATCTGTAAAGGATTTTCGTAATTTCCACTGAAATGTCTCTGTGTGGATCTGGTCCATTGCAGTTATCTAGAATAGGAAAAATTGTAACAAATGCAATGATAGCAGTGTCAAAACAGCCCAACTCCCACACAGAAAGGCTGGCAAGTAAAGTAGTTCTTAGTGGTTGTAACATTAATGCCAGCTCCCTCAATACACAGAACAGAGTTACTGTGCACAGGGACAGTTACAATTCAAGCCCTAAAGCCAAAATCTTTCTCAGGATAGGTTCAAGGTATAGAAAGCATTCAGTTATGGGAACTGTGATTGCTAATAAAATGCATTCAGGTTTTAAAATAACCCTACTTTAGTGGTTTTTATTTGCCAGCTGTGGCTGGGGACAGCACATAAAGTTGAAGAACAGAAAACACAGTCTTGAAACTAGTCTTTTGAGGCACTAGGATAAGAAAATTGCTCTAATTTTTGGTCTGAGTCTTATGTCAAATGGACACAGGACTGCCTAGGACACTTTAAAAAGCCCTGTGTGGATGAAAAGCAAAAAAACCCCATGGAAGTCTGTGTTTTCCTTCCTCAGAGTACAGGAACAGACTGTCCTGGGCAGTGGTGGAGTTAATGTCCCTGGAGGGATTTAGAAGATGTGTAGATATGGCACTTGGGGACATGATTTATTGCTGGCCTTGCAGTGATTATCTGAGAGGTCTTTTCCAACCTGAATAATTCTGTGATTCGATTCTGTAAACTCCTGAGCCACATTTACAGGTAGCAGGTGATGCCTCTGTCTGGTGCCTCTGTAGGGTTAATGCTGCCTGTGAGGTTAAAACTCCTTCATACCACTCAGGATGTCACATACAATTCTCTTAAGAAATGTTATTAATTTTGTTATTTCAATGAATATTAAATCAGTTAATCAATTTGTTTCATGTTTTATCATAACAGTACTGTCAAATCTGAGTGAAATTTATAATTAATGCTGAATATTACTGGACACATTGCTTCTTACATAGCATTTTGCATATTTCCTCACTTCCTTTCTTTTCAAGCAAGCAGGGCTAATGTGTTTGCAGGTGTTTTTGTCTGAGTGAATTTTGCTTTCAAATGACTTGGTCCAAGGGGAAGGTGCACAATTTAGATCTTGAATTGTGTCTCAAGCTTTTTGACTGGCACACCCCTGACACTGATCTTTTTGGAGCAAATTTGAGCTTGCTGAAGATGATGACCTTTTCAAAGTGATTTTTCATGAGATTGTTTGAGCGTGTTTAATAGGCCATAGTTCAAAAATAGCTGTAGTAGGTCATTGTAGCTGGCTTGTAACAATGTACTGTTATAATTTTACTTCACATAAATTTACCTGATGTAATGGAAAATCCAGTTTTTTGAGCAGGTATTAATGGCTTTCTGTGTAGTACTTTACTTTTAGAATGTGAAAATATTTTTTTGCTGTTAAAATTCAGGTGTTAGCACATCCCAAGACTACGTGTATCAAAAAACTGTCATTATAGTTGCTTAAGCTCTTTGACTGTAAAGTTTATTGTAGAAATAAATGTGTTGATTGCTATAAGTTTATTTTATCAAAACAAACCCCTGGTAAGGAGTAAAACTACTGGTAGAGTGTGAGACTTTTGTTAAAAACAACAACAACAAAAAAATCATGTTTCTTGTAAAACTATTTCGTTATTCTCATTAAAAATTTCCTTCAGACTTAGTGTTAAAAATATGCCAGAGGCATTTATCAGAATTATCTTGGTATTCGTCTTACCTGTGATTGCTTTGAAATCTTTGTTGTTTTAGTGCAAGGTAGAAGCTCACAGTTTCTATCACTGTTCTATGCCAAATTGCCTTCCAACTAATGTGCTTACAGTAGCAACCCAGAGAAAATAACAAAAACAGAGAAGAAAGTAGAGAGCAGAGGGAGCTGCATGAAAATATTTTGGTGGAAATGTATGGTTTTTTCCTTTAATTCAGACTTGTTCTGTACTGTAGGTGGCTTCAGTCAGGAAGAACTGCTGAAAATATGGAAGGGCCTTTTCTATTGTATGTGGATGCAGGATAAACCTCTGCTTCAGGTACAGTAACTGGGTTTGTATTTGCTTGAGGGAGCCCTCCAAAATACACTCTGGTGACGTTTAATAATTTAGAATGGAGAAAATTATCTTTTTTTTTCCATTCCCCTGCAGCCCATCTGTGGCATGTGCAGAAGAGGTGACCGTAACTCGGTGATCTGAAGGTGAACAGATCATATTTGGAGTCACCTTCTGAGGGGCAGGTGTAGCTGTTTACCTTTCAAAAGGAGAGCTAAAATAAATGCCTTATGAAATGTTGACTTTGTGTAACTAAAACAGTAACAGCAGGTTGCCCTTAACTGCAGCTACAACATTTGTGCAGATTTTAGTGTGTGAGTTCCACACTTCCTTTTCCTTTGTTGGTTCAGTAGCACTTCCTCTATTACCAAATTTGTCCCTACTGCATATTTTTGTCAACTTCTACTAGTTTGTCTCCCTGCTTTCAAAAAATACTGGTTTTGGAGTAGCAGCTCTCAGTAACCTGAATTTTCAGATCACTTGTCTGCATGAACAAGGTTTATCTCACACATAGCTCACACCCCTCCACAAAGACCTCAATGAGAGCAGTGCCCTGTAAGTTTTGCATCATTAATTTATTCAAATACATGGAGTTCTTCTCCTCCTAATTTAATTTTGTCTGCTGTCAGAAAGATGGTTTTATCTGGTGAAATGAACAGGTTTTGATACCCTTGAAACTTCTCTTCCAGCTGAGCTAGTCCCAGTGCAAGGATAACTGCAGTGCTAAAGCAGCTGTTGAGAGAATGTTTTTCATTTTGGGAGCTGTTTCATGAAATTCATACTTCTTGCTGTTTGCTGGTCATATGTTTAATGAGGAGACCAAACTCTAAAACATGCTACACTAACCATATTTATTTACTTTCAGGAGGAACTTGCAGCCAATATCTCCCAGCTTATCCACGTGTTTCAGAATACAGAGACTCGTAAGTACTATTGAATTACCAGATGCTTTATAGGGTGCTTCCCTCTTTGGTGATTCCACTATCACAGTGCCAGAATAAAGACAGACGGACAAGAGGAGCTGTTTTGGTGGCTTTTTCTTTCCTTTTTGTCCAACTGGTCAGTGTGACTCCGTTAAGGGAGGCAGGAGCTGAAGGATTTTTCTGTCTGGTGCAGAAGAGTTGTGTCTTCAATGGGATATAGGTGAGATTTTTGAGAACAGGTAGCAAAACAAACTTGTCCCCTTACTTCTCTGTTCTGCATGGACTGTTCTGTTTATTTCCTGCTAAAAACCAACCTTGTGTCATGAGCTGTTAACCCCCTGGTATTCAAAATGCTTATGAAGTGGAGCACTCAATCAGTGCCAAAAACGCTTGGGCAGAAATGGGTGCAGAACAGATACTTTGGGTAGAAATGGGTGCAGAACAGATATTTTGCTCAATTTTGTGTGTTTATAACACAAAATAGGTACAAATCTGTTCCTGTAATTGAACTTGCTTTAAAAAGTGGCTGTGTGCCTTTTCTTGTATTGTTCTCAAGTTTAATTGATTATTGTAGCAGTGTCAAGCCTGTCTTCCCACAGCTCTGTCACTAGGGGAGTCCTAGGGAAGTGCATCCCTTTCTTGAGACCCTTTCAGATCAGCAGAGCAGCCCTCTGTGGCAGGCATGCAGGTGTTTCTCCTTGCTCCCTTGCAGGACACCTGTTCATCCAGACATTCTGGCAGACGATGAACCGGGAGTGGAACGGGATTGACAATCTGCGGCTGGACAAGTACTACATGGTAATTATACCTCTCTGCTGGGGTAATTAATAAGAAGCAATTAATAGGTAATTATACCTCTCTGGGTGGTGTTTTCTCCTAGAAAATGTGTGGTGCTGGTGTGCTGGAAGGCAGCTCTGTCTGCACATGCATTGGGTGTGTATTGTAAGAGAACACAAGGCATCATCTTCTTGACTCATTGCAAGAGATGTTTATTCTAAGGGTTTGCACTCACCACTGCATGAACCTAAAAGCCAGCACAGTTTATGTTGTACTCAAGTGCTTTCCCTTCTAACACAGTGATTTTTCTCATTTATTTCTATACTGGAATATAAATATTGTCTCGAAGGACCCTGTGTCGACATCAGTTGTTTACATCAGACTCTTTAAAAGCTCTTTTATGAGAGAGCGCTTTTTTTTGGGTTCTGCACTAGAACCCAAACTTTCCATCAGTAAAGTATCCACTGTAGCACATTCAGTAGTCAGAATTACTTCTATAGGAAACAGAATGTTTAAACAGGAACTAGAATCTTAAAAAGCATACTTTTGTAAAGAACAAAATCCCATTATCTTCTTTGAAAGAAATTAATTGCAGGCACATTCACTGGTGGTTTTTCTTTCCCAATATTAGCACATAGAAGTTATTTCAGTAAGTGAAGGGTTTTGAGCCAGTTGAATGTGGCTGTTTTACATGTGACTGTCTCTTAGTGCATTTTCAAGTAAATTAAATTATTATTGTTATAATCTGACCCATACTGTGTCCAGTTTAAGCTGTGCCTTTTCTTAGATTAAGGCAGTACTTAATGAAGAAATCAGGGCTGTGAATCAAGAGGAAGCTGTATAGAAGTGATAATGAAGTTTGTGCCTAGCATATGAAAATAGCTTGTCCTTTTTGCTTCACAACACCCTTCTGTTGCATTACGTGATAGACAATCTGTCAAAACATTCATGTGAGGCAGCTTCCACTTTGTGCTAGAGAGGTTGACCAAGAAATCTGTTCATATTGCAGCCACAGTAGCTCCTTTTTACCTGATTTTATAAACAACATGTTTAACAGATTTTGTGCTTTGCAGCTGATGCGTCTGATTTTGAGGCAATCCTTTGAAGTGCTGAAAAGAAATGAATGGGATGAGGGGTAAGCAGATTTCTGAATGTTGTAACATCATAAACAAATCACCCAATATACCTGTATTCAAATACATTTTCATTTAATAGATTCTTCTTTTCCATAGATGCCACTGTCATGAAGTCTTAACATTAAGGCTTATTTGTTCTTCATATCACTTTGTTTAGTAACATAGTAATGAGTTACATGTCATGAAATTAAATACAGTATTTAATGTATTTCATTTTCTGATGTAGCCATAAGAGCTATCAATGAATTATCAGCTACAGAGAGACTAGACAGGGAACCTGAATCCCAGAAAATACAGAAAAGGAATTTTTTGTGTGTTAATGATTTTCTGTTTGGCTCTGACTTTTTTTAAAAAGTCTTTATTTTATTGTGGTTAATCATGGTGACTTCTCTTCTGATAGGACAAACCCCTTAATTGTAAACTAGTCTCCTGTTTGTTGTAAACATCAGTGGTTTTGGTTGTATTTCTTCTATATTCTATTAAAAGGCAAATAATTGCAGTCATTTGCTCTGTCTAGAGCTCTTGTGCCACTTATAAGCTTGTTGTCTTTAAATTGATGAAGAGATTTAAATATTTTAATTGAAAATAACCCAGTATTAAGGTTATCCTTTCTCTCTTTCACTATCTGAAATGCACAGCTAAAGGACACCCCATCCCTGCTGTTCCACCTTCATTTTGCACTGGGTAAATGCCCTCAGGTTGAAGAGATGAAAATGTTCCTTGACAGGAGCAGAAGGTGTGGGAGGAGGTTTGATAGAGCTGAAGCCCTTCTTCCCACACACATGGTCACCCAGACTGACTTCTGACAGGGTTTCTAATGGCTTTGGCCTCCGTCTCTCACTGGGAGGAGGCAGTGTGGGAAGAGAGGATCATGATTCCTTTCTTTGCAGAGTGAGGGAGCTCAAGAACTGCCTTTCCCTCCTGAGTAGAGCCAAGAAGCTGCCTAGCATGACTCTCTTCCCTCTTGTCTTTTAAAATGCTTTTGAAGAAACATGTTTTAAAGTAAAACTGAAAGAATGATTATGGTTTTTCAATGTTTTGAATTCTCTTTGAGACTGGAAATGTTTGTTCTGGGCAAAATTGCAGCAAGTCCTAAAGAACACTAGGGGACAAAGCTTGGAATATACAAAACTTCATTTTCCTGAACGATAGCAATGATAGGCCTCAGGGTAAAAAAAGAAGGGAAAAAATTCCAATTGGGTAGCTGTCCATAGCTGTAAAGAAGTGGAGTTTGTTTTCAAGGCAAATAAGACATGAGCAATTGAATATTAATGTCTTGAGGTTTTTCCTCTTTATTTTTTTTTCAGACTAGTTGAACCATTGCTGCAGCTATTAATGAAAGAAGTTATGGAGCCAGACAGCAATTCTCCCACTGGGATAAAGTTCCATTTCATTGATATCTATCTGGATGAATTGGCTAAAGTTGGTGCAAAGGAGGTTAGAAAATACTTTGTAACTTTATTCCTGATTGTTGCTAACTGTGGCATGAAGCATCTTAGAGGAAATGTAATTTTTGGGTTACTTAATTTTTAATGGTTTTAAATATAACAACACTGAGTAAGCATGAAGAAAGTGACTTACTACAAGTTATGCTTTTGTTCATGTCTTTGACAGTGGGAATATGGTAGTTTCTCCCAAGTTCCTGAGTACTGCTATGCTGCTCCAAATTGAGGTTGGAAAAATAGTAATAAAATAGTTAGACTGTTCTCATTTCTTTGTTCAGAGGGGACTCAGTGTAATTTCCCTTGTGTGAGCATGTTTTCCAGCCTTTGCTTTTGCAAAGGCTGACATAAAGCCTGCTCTTGGCTCGTTGTGTAGCACCTAAATAGAGGAGGAAAGTGAGCTTTCACAGTTGTTTTATATTTGCTTATTGCTGTCTGTGCATTGTGCAGTTCACTCCCCACATCCAGATGTTTGTTTTGCTGGTGACATCTGTCTTGCTCTGCTGTGTGTTGCTGTGACAGTTAACTGATGGCCCTTAATTTTGGCTGCTGCTCCAGTGGGGCAGAGTTTTGCAGCCACAAAGCCAAGGAGCATCTCTCCTGTCCCTGCACCCTTCCTGCTGCCCCATGTTCATCCCAGGCTCCTCCTCAGTTCCCTCCCCTTGTCTCTGATACTTCTCCTTGCAATGGACAAAGCTGTCAGCACTTTTCCATTCCCATTCCTTGCAGTCAGTATTCATACCAATCCTGCCTGCAGGTTTTGAGGTTCTTCATTGTGGATCAAGAGAGAGATGAAGTCTGCATCTGAGAATTGGAGCCCAAATCATTTCTGCAGTTCCACAGTCACACAGCTGTAGCTAAGCCACTCACTGGAAGCCTGGAGAGGGGAGTGAGTCCCCCCAGACTATATGAAATCACAGATGATGCTCATAAATTGGATTTTGAAGGGAAGAGTCTTTATCTTTAACTCTACTGTAGCTGAGAGGGTTTTGGTGCAAGCAGCCCAGTTAAGGGAAACCCAAATCCTGTTCTTGTCTGCCACAGACCTTTGTGGCAGTACACAAAATTATTTAAGCTTTCTCTGCCTCATGGTTCCTTATCTAAAGTAAGAAGCTTTGTTGTATGTCTGTACTCAGCAGAATAAAGTCTGCAAGGCAGTCAGTGTTTTGGTAACACTTCTGGAAGTTAGGGATAACAAAAAGGTCCTGGATACCTCTGCCAGTTGGAATTGGATAATATGCTGAAAGACTGTTAAAGAAGATCCCCCAACACCAATTCCTGTACAAACATCAATATTCAAGGAATTTCAGTGTACGCATACAGTATTTTCTGTACTCACATTTATTTTCTTTCCAATCAAACAGCTCACAGCAGACCAGAATCTCAAGTTCATCGAACCTTTCTGCAAAATTGCTGCCAAATCAAAGGAGTAAGTTTGATGAAAGGATAAATATTTTTTAAGAATTAAGAAACTCTGAATATGGTAATAAATAGATCAAAGAATCATAATTTCAGAATGTAGAGAAAGAAGGGTATTTTACCAGCAATGTGCACAGTCATATGAAGATAACTTGTGTTTATCAAAGCCATAGATAGTCTCCATGGATTTATAAGAACTATATCAACCTTTGGTGGTTAATTTATCCAGTTATTTTATTTTTTTTTAATGCTTAGAGCAGTTGAGCTGCTTCTTTGCAGTGTAATATAGGTCAGCATATAAAGAGTGAAATTTAAGAAGAGCACATTAGCAGACACTGCTTGGATTAAAGGATTTCTGTTTAGGGAGTAACAGGTTGGCTTTCATCACCTGAAGAGCGTGGTGTTCTTCCACATTCTTTCTCATCCATTTTCCCTCAAATCCCCACTATTTTAACCTGGGAGGGAGGGTGTTTGTGGTTACCTTTGGGCTCACCCTGCTCTCTGACAGTCGGCGTGTGCTCCACGCTGTGGCCACCGGTGTCTTTGAGATGATCATGGACCAGTCCCCCTTCGCCATCGAGGACCTGATGAAAGAGCTGGGTACCAACAGTGATGAGGAGAATGTTTCTGAAGAAGGCAAACAGGAAAATGAAGAGATGCTTAAAACCAAAGGTAAGGAGGAAACTCTAAATTGCCCTGGTAAGAGTTGCTAGGAAACAGATTTCAGAAAACCTGTTTCCTGAAAATACATTTCTGCTCTGAACCAATCAAACACATGTTCAGGGTGTTGTAAGGGTAATTGTGTTTTCCTGTCTTCCCTTCAGATGTGCTTAGTAAAGCTTGTTCTTTTGGAGTTGCTTATCTCAGACAAAATATTAATGTTCAATCTTTTTTCTATAATAGCAGACAGATCTCTGTCAAGAAAATCAGCACAGAATGCTGAAAACACAGAGGATATTAATGAAAATGCTGATGATGGGATCGGGGCTGTTCTTCAGGTTTGTGGCTCTTTTGCTCTGTTACTGATATTTCTGCTCTCTTTTTTCCCCATCCCTTTCAAGAGGTGAAGAAGTAAAGGGTGTTAATGGATAAACACGTTAGAAAATTTTAATCTCTTGATTTATTGTAAGGTGGTATTTATGTAATGTGTATTCTGTCAGTGGTAGTAAAATAAATCCATGTCTAAATTCCTCTTTCCTCTCTCCCATACCTTCTGTTTTCTGCTCCTTCCTTCCCATTTCAAGAGTTAAAAAATGTGTATGCTAAAAGCCAAGTCAGTGAGGGTGGGGAAGCAATGAGCCTAATTTTCATTGAACATGGATGATGGGATACCTAGGAGAGAGGATAATATGTTACCATTTGGGTTTTCTAAACCCAGGGCCAGTGCAGTGTAGTGATTCTGACACATCCTCCCATCGAACACACATGCAGGTGGATACACTTGATGTATCTGTGGCTTTTAAACAAGAATTAGGACATGGCACACTTTAAATCTGATATTTAGCTAAATATTTATGGGAGTTTTGAAGTGGGTTGGCTTCTCTCTTGAGTGAGAAATCAGGTTAGGAATGTTTGAGAACGTGACAGCAAGTTCAGCTGTTCTGTCAATGAAGCAGCCATCTGTACAAGTCAGTGTGTGAAGGGGGCGTAAATTTCAACAGAGGAAAACATTTGGGTTTAAAGGAGGTGTCTCTTTCAAGATGTGTATCTTTACAAGTTACCTATTGAACTTAATGCTTGATATATTTGTAACACAAGTTGCACTGGGTGATCTTGCATGGATAAACTAAGAAAAGCTGTGTTGTACTTCCCTCCAACAGTTTGATTACAAGGCTGTTGCTGACAAAATCTTCGAATTTGCCAGCAAGAAAAATACACCTTCCCTGAACAGAAAGAGGCTGTACAAGCTGGTCAAAAAGTGAGTTCTGCTGAAATATACATTGTCCTAGGCTACTTTGATTTTCTTTCTGTCCAACCTGTCTTGTCCTGACACCACTGTCATGCTGATCGTCACTGGTACCAGCCAGCTGCAGCCAGCTGGGCTTTATCTGCACAGTGTGGGTTTGAACTGCAGGATGTGGCATCAGCTTGGGTGTGATGCAAGGAACAGATGCAGCAAAAGTGTTAAATTGTTGTTTTCTCAATATTTTCAGTGATTTGGCTTGAGTAGGGGGGTTACTGAGGCAGATCTCTTCTGGAGTTTGTAACTTCCTATGCAAAAATATGTTGTTTCTGTTTTGACAAAACCATAGTAAGTGCAGTGATGCTGTTCTGCTAGTGTTATAATTGGTACTGAGTGAGTAACTATGTTTTGGTTTTTCTTTTATCCCTCTCACTTGCAGGTTCCAGGACTTAGCAGAAGGTAAGGACTGAGCAGCAGACAGAGACAGTAGTCTCTGTCTTTATTTTCCATTAAATTACATATAATGTTCCCATACAACGTGTATTGGATTAATTTTTCTCCTCTTTTTTTTTAATGTGCATTTCAAGAATATTATATTGTGGGGTTTGTAGGTTTTTAAAATCTCATTAAGACACATTACACATATTTTGGAGATGGCCAAATTCCTTTCACAATTTGAGCAACCCTGTACTTTTTCCTTAAATGAAAGATGATTATTTTTGCTTAAGCAAATAGGAGTGGGTCATATGTTTTTCTTTAAGGTTGGATGGGGAAAAAGGAGTTGTTTTTTCTTTCTGTGGGAGTTATGCTGTTTATGATAGAAGTAGGACTCTCAGTTTTCTGAAACCTTATCCTTCCTCAACAGGAATCTTCCCCCAGGATATTCCTGAAGAAGTTTCTACAGATGAAGATGATGATGATGAACCCGGTAGGCGAAAGCGAAAGAAAAAAGCTGTCAAGCCTTGGCAGCAAAATGAGCTGGAAAAAGTAAAAGGTAAGGCAAGATCAATATTTGGGAGAGAGACAATCTGCAGTGACTTGTGCAGTTTGGCAAAGTGTCAGATAAAAGCTGTTCTGAGGAAGGCAACACTGTTGTTCAGGATGTGCTGATTTGTATCCTGTTGTGATGAAGGTTAAATGTGAAATTCAGTTCTCGTTGAAAGTGGGAGGATTTCTCTTCCCAATTCTAAGGCAAGCATCACCTCAAAAATTTCAGTCAGAAGTAGAACTGAAAGCAGCTGTTTGTATTGTTCTTTTGAGCAGTTGTATTTACTGTAGGAAAGCACAAACATATCTTAAAACAGGTTGAGTGTTAGAATATAAGAATTTGGGGATGTTGAAATACTTAACCCCTGAGTTGCCCTTCTGATGGCCTTAACAGGTGGGTAATAATAACTCTTTTTAGGGATGTTGCTATGAAAAATAGGCTTGCCACAGGGAATGGTTTAGATCTTAGCTGTGATAAGGCAAAATTAGCAAAATATTAATTAGGCCAGACGTTATCAGGCTGCAGTGTCCTCAGCAGCTGTAACAATAAAACTGCAGGCTGATAACAGGAAAATGGTGCACCTATTTTAAAATAGAAGAACAAAAATAGAATAGAATTCAGTTGTTGTGAGTACCTTTGTGTTTCACATGTGTGTTATGGCATTCTTTTTGGGATGGATTTAGAGGATAAAGAAGACCTGTCAAGTGGGAAGGTGCCATCAGTTCCCCAAAGGAAGAGGAAAAAAAGGAAGAAGAGGGACAGCATAAGTGCTGATTCTGGAACAGCTGATGGAAATTGTGAGGAGGGAAAAGCTGAAACATCTGGATCCAATCCTTCTAGCCAGGAAAAGGTGCCAGAAAATAAAAAGGAGAGGAAGAGAAAGAAATTGCTAGTAAATGAGGCCAGTGAGACCACGGATGTAGCAACTGACACCAGAGAAAATCACAGTATTTGTGTGCAGAACAGCCTGACTGACACAGAACAGAGTAAAAAGAGTCAGCTGAAGAAAATGAATCCAAAAGTGCAGAATGTTCCTGCAAAACCAGCGTGTCAGAATGGACCAACCACTGCCAGTGCAGCAGAGGATGTCAGCCCTTCTGTCACTCTGTTACCTCCCAAGGCTGTGAAAAAGAAGCAGAAAGCAGGGGCTGTCCTGGTGAATGGGGATCCCCCTGTGCAGCAAACTGACCTGAAACCCAGCAAGGATTTGCTGGGGACCCTGCCAAGAAAGGCAGAGGCTGAATCTGCACCCTCCAGAAAGGTCACACTGAAGAGAAAGACAAAATTAGTAGGTTTGGAAGGGATGAAAGCCTCCAGTCAGAATGCAGCAACTCTGAAAAAGAAGAGAAAAGTGAAAGAGGTGCTAAACTCTGTCGAAGCCAATGGAGTTCTGGAGACTGTATGCAAGAAAAACAGGAAGGTGGTATGTACATCTCATTCTTTTCTCTGCCTGCTTCAGGAACTGCCAGGCTGATTTTCTGATCTGGCTTTGGCTTTCTGACCATGGGGCTGCATGGGCTGCTGGCTGATGTCATCATTCATTGTCACCAGAAAAGAACTTGGTTCCCCAGAAATCCACACACTGCTACAGTGTCACACCCTCCTGTACAATGACACTCAATCCTGTGCCAGCCACTCAGCTGGAAGAACCCATCTAGCTGAAAAATGGGATGTTAGGGGCAAGATGGGGTTGTCTTTTGTGGTTTTTTTCCCCTTTGGTCTCTGGGTTAATGATTCTTTTGCATTGGGTCTCTCTTTGAGCTTTACAGCATGCTCACCAAGGGCATCATGTTTTGGCAAAACAGTGAGAAATGGGAAGATGGAACATCCCATCCAGCACACGAGATTAGGATCAGCTCCTTGTGAAACTGCCCACAGCAGTTCCAGGAGTGGCTTCTTCTGCTTGCTCACTGCTCCATCTTAGAAAAACTGATAGGACTGTCTGGGGAAAGGAAAGAGAATAGACACTGGAACATTGGAATAGAGAATATGACACTGTGATCTTTAATGGCTGTGTGATCACATGTATGCATGGTCCAGTTTTTTATAAACACAACACTGTGCTTGTTCACTAGGAAGGTCTGATGTCTTCTTCAAAAATGTATGCCTTGCAGTTTGGAAATAACCAATTTTTTTGACCTCTCTACCTTCACCCCCATTTTCTTCTTTGTAATAGGTAGAATAGTGTTGATTTTTCTCAATGATTTGAAAGTCAGAAAGCATTTTGCACTGTATGGTTTTGATAGAATGGCTAAAGAAAGAGAGTGCAGGTGTTCTTCCCTCTCCTGCTACTGAAATTCTTTTTAACTGCTCATTTCCCATGTGCATATTCACTCTAACACATTCAGGAGTTTAGTTACATTCTTGGAAGTGTTGCTGACAGTCTCACTTTGGTGGAAAAAAAATCATAAAGCACAGATGAGATTATGAGTACAAAAAAGAGTTAAAGCTGCATGTTTTGAGCCCATGAGCTCACTTCTGTTTGACTTATGTATAAACCTGCAGGATTAGTTAAGTAGTGCAGCCTTGTATATGGAGATAGAACTACTCAGTCCTTCACAGGAGAAAAAATTCATATTGAAGCTTTGCTTAAATAGGAATAAAATAACTGACATTTTCTGGTTTTTGATGATGAAGTGCTGAGAGGGAGAAGCCAAAAGGTTTCGCTCTCCCCACTATTCAAACTGCATTTCTCTCACTGTGGGGCTCCCAAAGTAGGAGCCATTGGCTTTGTTTCCTACCTCAATATTCCATGTTTCACACCTGGTTTTACTTTGCCTATAAAAGTTTTAATTTCTAAGAAAATATGATTATGACACCCCCATCTCTTTCTGTGAGAGTTTGCTGCAGGTGACCAATAGATTCCAAAACCTGTGATAGATTCAAGATAAGAAGTTCCTGCAAACTTCATGGGAGTGAGTTTTTGGCACAAATTAGCACTGAGGAAAAGGCAGCAGCACAACCCAGCACTGGCCTGTTGGCTGGCAGGGCTTGGGCTACTGGATCACTCTTCATGTGGAATTCCAAAGAAATTAATGAAATTTGCTTTTTCTTGCTCAGTCCACATAGTTGTGTGAGTGTGTGTGTTAAAAGGGATGGAGACAAGGAAAGGTACTTGGAAATTGAGTCAGGAGGAGAGGGAGAATACTGATGGAAGGAAGAAGAGGTCAGGGGAAAGTTTAAAATGTACAAATGCAGAGGAAATTGAGCTTTGCTAATTTTGTTTTCATTGCTTGAGAAATAACATGTTGTTTTCTTTCCTTGTATTAGTTATGCAATCCTGGCCTTGTGCCCAGAAATGAGGGGCATGTTTTGATTCTTGATTTCAAGGACAACACACACCTCCAGAGAATTAGCTTCAAATATTCAGAGGAAAGAGGAGGAGAAGGGGAAAAAAAGCAGAGAGCATTATTTCAGAGTTGTCTCCACAATTAAGAAAAAAAAGAAGTCTTGTGGGTTTTCCTTTTATTTGAAGCAGAAGTGATTTTCAGATCAAAAGAGGCCATATCTGCTGTACATTTTCCACAGTTTGTCAGTGAATACCTTTGGAATTCCATGTCTTTACGTTGATGAGAAGCATAACTGAACTTCCCCTGACTACAGTCCACAGGCAGCAGGTTAGAAAGCTCTGCCAGTGCAAGTCCTAAGAATTGTCTTCTACTGGAGACAAGAATTGCTTTAAATACCATAAAAGTATGAATTTTAGTCAGCAAACCAGTAGCACTACACAATAGCTGAATTTCTGAAAGTGTAGTCAGATTTCATACTCCGTTTTTTTTCTTCAAAGTTTTCATCTTAGCCCAAAGCTGTGTTTGTTCATTAGTTATTTATCTTATTCATCCAGGGGTACCACAGAGGAGTTTTTGCTTATGGTGAAGGAAAAAAATGATCACTTGTGTGCAGGAGAGAAGGATCAATTGCAAAGTATCCTCATGCACATGGAGAAAACATGTTTGTTTGTTTGCACTCTGCTGGGCTTGGCAGATCTATTACAAATTCTTCCTTTTGTGCTTTGCAATGACTTTCTTATTTCTGCACAGAGTTTGCCTTCAACTTCTGCTTTCAGTCATGCCAATTGCAAAATTACCTTCTGGGAGCTAAACATGGTGATTTAACTAATGTGAGTGTGTAGTCAGCACTGGTCACAGCACTAGGTATTGGTTAATACAGAACTTTTTACAAAGTTCATTTTCCCTTTCCCTCCTTGACAGGAAAGCACTGCTGCTCTCTCACCATTAAAGAAAAAGAAAGCAAAACCAGGAAATGATTTTGTAAAATTTGAAAAAACAACTGTACCAAAGGCAGTGTTCTTCAGGAAAGCCAGAAGCACCATCTCTTCCCCCAGGACACCCATGCAGGTGAGGTGATCTCACAAAGGGCAGCTGAGTCTGGGAACAAATGTCTTCCCAAGCAAGCTCCTCATCACTTGTGATGTTTTTTCCACTCCCTGTTAGTTTCCTAACATGAGCTGATATAACTGGAAATGCTGCTGCTGTAAACAGAGTCACACATGGCTCCAGAGTTTCAGAAAATGAGAGAGAGATGTCTCTGAAATCTCTTCTTCCCTCCCCTCTGCTTTCAGCCTTCTTGTTGAACACAGACCATTTTGAATCGGCTCGTTTCACAAGAAAGCAAAAACAAACTGATTTCAGTCTTGCAAAGGGACTTTGAGCCTCCATTTCTTCTCATTTGTGGAGACTGGCAGCAGTGCAGGGCTTCAATAGTCTGACGTCTTCTCTAGACCTTTTTAACATTTAAAGCTTTTCAAGTCCTTTTAGCAGTTTGAGGCCTGAGTGCAGTGGGGCCAATCTGTTTAACATACAAATATCTTCTTGTTTGTTGTTGACTTACATAATGACATTAAGGAGAGTATGTGGTTTCTGCACAAATGGAATATGTTTACTTTTGGCTAGGAAAACAGTGCTGTCTTAGCAGCAGTCAGTGCCAGAGGATTGGGGCAATTCTAAGCAAAATGAAGGAAGAAATAGGCTGTTTTACATCAGTGGGTGCAAATGAAAGAACTCTAAGCATTGCCTCAAAAATCTTATTTTATTTCATGTCTTTATTTTGCTTTATAGCTGAACAAACTGCAGACACCCAGCTCCAAAAGAGTCACATTTGGCTTGAATAAAAACATGACTGCAGGTGAGTCTGATGCGTGTGTGTGTGTGTGTCCACAGTCTCTCTGGTAACTGAGGAAGGGGGAAGCTGTACACACTCACACACCTGTGGGACACCTCTAAAACAGGATGGTTCTGTTCCTGTCTCAATATTTGTGTTTAGTTTACAAACCCTCCTCAAGTTCCTTCCCAGAGGAGATGGTAAAGTTCAGTGTCACAGACATCTTTTCATGAAAATCCTTTCCTTAGGATTTTTCCTCCTGAGAAGCTGAGAGGCCTCAGGAACAAAATGTAAACATTGATTATCTGCTGCTGTGGAATGCAACAGGTGCATCTGTGATTGGCCCATCTTGGAAGTTTATAATTAATGACCAGTCACAGCCCAGCTGGCTCAGACAGAGTCCAGGACAGCTGCCTTTGTTATCATTCTTTCCTTTCTATTCTTAGCTAAGCCAGCCCTCTGAGATGAAACCTTTTCTTCTATTCTTTTAGTATAGTTTTAATGTAATATATATCATAAAATAATAAATCAGCCTTCTGAAACATGGAGTCAGATCTCCATCTCTTCCTGCAACATAAGACCCCTGTGAACACCGTCACAGTGTAGGCCATTGAGCCCTGCAGCTAGACCTGAGCAATTCCAGGGTGCTGCAATAGTGACCTGCAGAAGGAGCCTCATGGGTGGCAAACTGCAGCAGGGTGCTGAACTTCCCTTCCTGAGCTGCCTGTGTGCAGAGCTCCTCTGCAAACACCTGCACTTCACAGTCTTCATTGCTCACTTCTGTTTCCCAAGGCAAAGATGCTGACATGCTGATAAAGTCAGACTTTGTAGTAGCACAGGTTGCTTTTTATTTTGGCTGCTTGTGGCTTATGAATGATCATGAGTAGGTAAAGGTCACTTCCCTTCTGTAAGCAGGTGGTGTGTTCCCTGTTAAATAAATGTCTTGCTCCATAGCTAACAATTATATTCCATGAATTCATTTAGCTACTTTTTAACTCCCTGAAGTGTGCAAAAGGTCAAGTTCAAATTGAGAACAGTGTATTTAGGTAAATGTCTTCATGTTAATATAACACAGCTGAACAAAATGAAAAATAAGTGCTGGCTGAAGGGATGGCCAAGAGTCTCTAGAGCTGTTCAGCAGTCAGAATAGAGACACTGCTTACCCACTGGCATCTTTTAAAGTCCAGTGGGGTGTTTTCCAGGATAGCTGGAACTCTTGTGTGTGAGGAAAAGGCCCAGGGTCTCTGGTGCTCTGTAGAACTACATGGAGGGTTCACAGTGGATTGCAGCAGACCCTGTTCCCCAAGGGGTGTTACTGTCATATTTTCTGAAAAATCCCTTTGCTCAGGATTTTTCTCCTGGGAATCTGAGAAGCGTCAGAGAAAAATGAAAACAATTTCCTGATTTGCTTCTCCTGTGTTTTGCTGCTTTGGAATGTGGTTTGGACATTGTTTACCAACTGGTCATTGTTTGATTGGTTTCATGTGAATTGTTTTGAGTTAATGACCAATCACCTCCAGCTGTGTTGGACTATGAGGAGGCAGTCAGGAGTTTTCATTATCATTCTTTGTAGCCTCCTGTCTGTAGCCTTTCTCAGTTCTTTAGTATAGTTTTAGTATAGCATTCTTTAATATAATAAAATACCATAAAATAATAAATTAGCCTTCTAAGAACATAGAGTCAGATTCATCAATTCCTGCTTTGTCCTGGAGATCCCAAAAGTAGCACAGAGGGGCTCTGCTGAGAGATGTGCTTCACCACCATCTCTTTTTCTCTGCCAAGGCTTCTGAGCCCTGCTGAGCTTGAGGATCTAACTCAGTTTTCTAGGGCTGGGAAATCCCACAGTTGATTGAGAGGCCCAGTTATTCCAGGGGTTGCATTTCATTTTAATTTGTTGGCTTGTTTTTCAACAGAATTCAAAAAGACTGACAAAAGTATATTGGTGAGCCCAGAAGGACCCTCCCGTGTGGCTTTCAATCCTGAACAGAAACCTCGTCATGGGGTGCTGAAGTCACCCACAGTGACCCCAGCAAAAGAGCCCCAAATGAAGAGACCATTTACTCTGTCAGCTAAGAAGAGACCAACTGCTGTGGACTTCTTTTAAACCAACAAATGTGGCCTACTTTTGTACAGGACATTTTGCTAACCTAGAATGTTCTCTGGAGGTATCTTGAACTTCTTTATTTTTTTAAGTTAATACAAATTGTATATACAAAATTCTGATTATGACCTGGATCATTGCTATTTTGAAACCACTTCAGCTCTACCTTGAAATACTTGTTTTGTCTTTTTACAGAAAAGAAACAAAACACAATCTCTGCTCAGGTTTGGTCTACAAAAAGTATGGTCTCTGCCCATGTCATTCCCAAGAGACTTGTCCATTTAATTAAGAAATGTTCAGGGTTTGATTGTTTCAGTGATTTTTTTTTGAGCCAGTGTAAGACAACTTGCACTTCATGCTGTTAAACTGTCTTTCATTAGACAGAGTTTAAATTGGAAAAAGGCAATGCAAATTTTAAGCCTACTTGGTCATGTATTTCTATATTTTAAAATTCTACTCTGTCATTTATCATGTGTCACCCCTAGCATCCTGTTAATTCTTCTGGAAATAATGATTACCTTGTGTGTCTGTTTAATAACAGCTGGACTTGGGTAGCTTTGCAGCTGGCAAGAGAGCTTTCCCTGGGATAAGAAACCCTTAGCTGTTGCTCAAGTGGTCACTGGTGCAAATAAACCTTCACAGCTGGCTGCCTGCTGAGTTGGGGACAAGTCACCCCATTGTTTTCAGTCATGCAAGTGCCAAAGCTGGCTTGAGCTGGCTCCTTCTCTTCACTGAACTGAAATTCATGCAGGAGAAATCTTTGATATTTCCAGGTCTTCCCCCAGCCCCCTCTGCTGCCTTTCCTGAAGGTCTGACAGGACTCCTGGGTTTCTGCTTTAGCAGCTGGTGCCACCACACTGAGCCAGAACTCAGCCCTCATTCAGTGCATGAACTCTGCTGGACTGACATGAGCTAGGTGGGTGCAGTGCATCTTTGGGTAGGACACATCTCTGTGAAAGCTTTGTGCCTCTCAGTGCAGGGTGAAACTTTACAGCCCATGCAGCTTGGTTTTGGTTTTGATGTAGAATCAGATGTCCACTTGGCATTTCTCAGAGTTCAGTTTTTATTTGGATGTTTTATTACTACTCTGTGTGTTTTGTTTTTAATTTGCTTCTTTGCTAAAGATTGAGGTGCATTGCTGCAAGAGATCATTTGTTATCTGAATGGGAACAGTGAGGAGGGGAAGAGTAAATTAAAATAAAACCTTTTTTGATACAATTGGAAGATTTGAAACCTTTCTTTGGAAATTTTCCTTATGTGAATGAGGCAAAGGCTTTGCAGCAGATCTCTACATTAGAGCTCAGCTTGGAAGCACAGCCTGGTGCCAGAGCAAAGCTCTGAAGTTCATGAAGCTTCACACCAGTTATTGCTGTGATCCTGTAAGAGAGAGGGTGAACCTGCTTCATTACCTTGTCTTAGGATAACTGGATTATCAATTAAATAAACTGATAAATGTTTATTTAGCTACTTCAGCCAGCAGAAGTACATTTTGTGACATATTTGCATCCTTCAGTGCTGGGTTTTACCAGTCCTCTGCCAGATTACTCCTCATAAGCAACGGTATTGAAACTGTTCTTTTGTACCTCAGCTACACTTGCTTCCAAATACTGGGGTACTCCCAGATGGCTGCTTGGTCTCAGCTGCCCAATTCTGATCCGTCCCAGTTCTCTCACTAAGTTTGTGACAGTCCATGGTTTGTGGTACTGCCAGAAATGAATTTTTCTCTTGTATTTTCTCATTTACAGTGAAGGACTGGATTTCATTTGGTTTTGATATTGTTCTAGGCTGTAGCTCTTTCTGTGATCAATAAAGAACTCTGGAGAATACATTGATAAATGAATGATATTCATTTATGCAAGTATTGTTCATTTATGTTTTAAAAAACTCATTGTGAATTAGCATAATGGATTTTATTGACAAGATGATGGTAAGTAGGGTGTAACAGCCTGTTCAATATGTTGTACTGTTACTTTGTCCTGTGAGTGAAAAAGTCTCTTGTGGAATATGCATAAAACCATTTGTATGTGCATGGTTGTGAATGCCTCAGGTTAGAGATGCCACATTTCTCCAAGGATAGAGATGCAATCACTTGGTGGATCTGGTGTGCACAGAAAAATCCAGGATCCAGACACATTGGGGGTTTGGTTTGGTTTTAATACATATAACTTATTATGGAAATGTATTGATTGTCTGGCTCTATCTCTGTTGATTGTAGATCCACTGAACCTGTTGTTTGTCCAACGATTTTGTTGCCCACAGTGTTAAATGGAGAGGGCAGAAATGGCAGTCAGGATTTTATCTAAAATTTTAGTGATGTGGTTGCTTGTTGCAATGCATCCATAATCCATCTGTACCATGAAACTGGTGCAGTGTTCTGTAAATATGCCTGTGAGATGGGTATTATCTTCAGAGGTATCTGGAATTTCATTCAGGACAACTTTACAAACAAAACCCTACCACTGTCAATGCAGTTTATTCAGCATTGTTGAGGTACATTTGAATATATTACCCAAATTATTTGGATAGTGACAATGCCAATAAGCATTGAAGACAAAAAAAAAAAAGAAAAAAGAAATATAATTTGCAATATCCACTGCATAGACACAATGGTTCTCTGAGGAGAGATGTAGTGGTAAGAAAAGAAAAAGGAAAACTCATCTGACCTGTTTGATATCACTTCATGGATTTTTTCCAGTGTTCTTCCAGCTGCCAGCCATGCTCTGAGTCAAAAATAATGTGGCCTAACTTTCAAAGGACTGATTGTTTAATGATTGTCTCTGTATTTTTGTTGCAAATCTGATCAACTTTGTCAAGCTCTAATAGTTTATAATTCTTCATAGCTTCAAGAGAACTCAAAAGCACAGAATTAATTCAGCAAGACAAAAAGTTGAAATTCTATTTCAATTATTGGATATGCAAGATCTCTTATAGTCAGTCTGTCAAAGCTGTGTGACTTGGAAAGTATCCAGTGCCCTTTGTCATGAATTACCTGCTCTGAGATTTCATTAGAGACAGGAAAAAAAATATCATTTTATGTTCCTCTGCAAGAGCATTGTTAATACAAATACAATGTCTAAGCATTACATCATTTAATCTAGTCCAATAAACCATATTTTTTGTGGATGTTGTATTTTGGGTAAATCTGTGAATTTGGGAAGTTGGAGAGGATAACATCTGGGGGGCCACTAGAAAGCACAAAGTTGTTCTTGCTGGTGTGTACCTGCTATCTGTCTTTTCCTTTTATTTGATAGTATAAAGAGCCCAAACTGAAAAAAACTCAGACACTTTTGGAGTAGGCTGGAGACAGGACACAGCTGTTCATACACCTTGAACTTCATAACTTTGAATTCCAAAGGTATGAAGTTCAAGGTGTATGAACTTTGGGTAAGAGATAGCAGCAGCTAAAAGATTGCTCAAGAGAAATTAGTAGATCACACCCTGTCACTGCTTGATGAAAATTGAAAACTGGAGTGGTAATGTGGCAATATGTGCACTGCAGAGTGCCAGGATAGGTGGGAGATGGACACTTGGAAAGCTTTTGGCCTGCTTGTTACCAGCAGCACATCTGAAAGAATTTGTGTACAGTCAAATCCTGCACAGGGTGCTGCAACCCCACCTCAGGTAGTGGCAGGCCCTGCACCTGCTCAGGATCAATTAAAATTAATCACAGTGTTTTGCAGGCTCATAATTCTCAGGAATGCTGAAGTAATTATTCAGACAAAGAAAACTGATCTATCCCTACCAGTGTCACTAGTAAAGTTAAACCATGAGTCCTCAGGTAAAACAGGAACAGAGTTCCTTCTTGTGTAAAAGAGGCTGGCCCAGAGCCTGTGCACCATCCCTAGGGAGTGACACAGGGTGGCTTCAATATGGACACATGATCAAAAGATGCTGCTTTTCCAAAGGTGCTCTTCTGGGCCTGGTTAACCATGGGAACCAGAGGGGCCAGGGAAAGCAGCAGAGCTCTGAAATTCTGAAATAAACAGCTGCAGTCTGTGGCCAAGTCTGTGCCATTGGGGAAGCCATGCAAGGGCCCTGGAGCCAAGGCAAGACCTGAGGGATGCCCCTCATCCCAGCCTGCAGCTGGACATGGAGCCACTGCCCACAGCTCCCTGGCTGGGTCCATCTGGAGCTCCTCCATCCCTGAGGAGCCTCCAGAGCCAGGGCTCTGCAGGGTCAAGCTGGGGCTGTTGTGTGGCACCTGTCCAAAGCCTCACAGGGGCCTGGGTATGTCAGGGGCTACTGCTCCATGCCAGTTCCAGAGGGGTCAGCAGTTGAAGGGATGTGGGGTGTGGCCCTTTGTGACACAGGTGTGTGGTGCCAGGGCCTGTGGTGATGCAGGACATGGTGGCACCCAGAGGCCCTTGTAACATGGCAGAGCCCTGCCCTGCCAGAGGGGTGTCTGAGGGTGTCTGAGGGGTGTCTGAAGGGTGTCTGAGGGGCGCAGAGCCCCGGGGTGCCCAGTCCCAGCAGAGCTGCTCTGCCAGGAGGCAGCAGCTCCCCTGAGTGCCTCTGTGGCAGAGCACGACAGCGCTGCTCACAGAGGAGGTGAACCCCAACTCCCCCCCTGCTACGGAGCAGCTGGGCCGGCGCATGAAACCCCAGGTGATGGCCAGCCATGGAGGGAGAGGGGATGGAGGGAGCTGGCATGAGGCTGGAGAGCAGCTGCCTGAAGGACAGGGCCCTGTAGCCCCTGATGTGCCAAGGCAGTCGCTTCCTTCCCCCACAGCCACGGCACAGAGCCAAAGCCCTGCTCCACACAGCCCCAGGTTCTCCCCCAGCCCCTGCTGCTCCCCCAGCCCTGGGTGCCCCCCCAGCCCCGGGTGCCCCCTCAGCCCCCGCCCTGGGTGGTTGGAAGCCCTCAGTGAGCAGGGGCAGGGGGCAAGGCGGTCGCCTGCTTCCCCTACAGCCATGGTACAGAGCCAAAGCCCTGCCCCACACAGCCCCAGGTTCTCCCCCAGCCCCTGCTGCCCCTCCAACCCCGGGTGCCCCCTCAGCCCCCGCCCTGGGTGGCTGGAAGCCCTCAGTGAGCAGGGGCAGGGGGCAGTAGGGGGTTCAGAGCTGCCAGGGCCACAGACTGTGGAGTGGGACTTGGACAGGAAGGAGAGAGAGAGGGAACCCTATGTGGGCTGGGAACTGGCCCAGTGGGGAAAGAAGAGTGTCCCAGAGCTGTCCCAAAGGGAAGATAAATATCAAGATCTGTCTCAACTGGAATTTGAGAGAGACCAAGAGTTGTCCAATGGGGAAGTTGTGACATGCCAGCAGCCCTCCCAAAAGCAAGATGTGAATGTCCAAGAGCTGTACAAGCAGGATGACAAAAGAGACCAGGAGCTGTCAGAGGGTGAGATACACCCAGACCTGTGCCACCAGGAATTTGAGAGACACCAAGAGCTATCCAAATGGCTGGACATGAGAATCCAAGAGCTGCTGCAAGAAGAAAACAACAGCAACAAAATGTTTCCCCAATGGGAACACTCCATTGACCAAGAGCTGTCCGAAGGAGAAGTCAGACGATACCCAAAGTTGTCCCGAGAGAGAGATGACAGTGACAAAAAGGAGTCACAGGAGGACTTGGAATGCATCACCATCCACACTATTTGGATCAACCCCAAGTACCCACAGCTCCTACAGGACCTTGACACTGCTCCCCAGGACTGGGCAGAGGCAGCAGCTTCTCCTGCCTTGGCAGAGCAGGTGAAGGCGGCAGAG